TCACTCAATCTACTAATATCTCAAGTATTAACCAAAACATCTCCCAAATTAATAAACAGTCACAATGTGACCTTCAATTACTTACCTCCACCAACTTTTCCTGTATTCAACTATGGCTTTAACATGTCCACTCCATTTGAAACCAACTTTACCATACCTGTCATTTTGATAACTCTCTTCTATTTTGACAATAAATCAATAAAGTTACTAACAAAAGATGTGTTACTCTTATAACACATCCTACTCAGACTATTAATAGCATCCTCAATCACTATCATCAATCTGTTCATCTTTCAAACATAAAATTACCTAACCAACTTATTACAGATCTATCACTTATTAAACAACATGACCAATCCTATTTTCATGATTGGACTACACTTAGACCTATCAATGAAAGCCTTTTTAATATTTTTGGCAACAATAATACCTTCCATTTTCTCACATCAATCCAAATTGGTATTATTTACTTAACACTCCTATTACTAATAAAGAACTTCTTCAAACCCTTTCACAACTACCTAATAACAAAGTCTGTAGTTCTACAGACATTAGTTATAAAATGCTTAACAAATTAGCCCCCAATGCACTTCTGCTATCACAGCTCTCTTTAATAATTGTCTTCTTGATAACAGAATTCCTAAACAATAAAAATATAGTAGAATTTATCCTATTCCTAAACACAACATCTTTGATAGTGACCTTAATCTCATATAACTTATTAGTCTGATTGAACACATATGCAAACTTTACACAAAAATTCTTACAAACTGACTTAGCTCTGTATTTTCTTCAAATCCTATTCTCTTACTTTTTAACTATGTTGCACTTCTTAATAATAGTATTTCAATTCCTATTTATATTCTCAATAATCTTATTAAAGATGCCATCTGTAATCACAAAGACATTTGGTTACTCTCACAAGTTATGAGCAAAGCATATGATTCTGTAAACTTTGCTCTTTTTAAACATTCACTTTCTTATCTTTTAGTTTCTTCATTCATTATTAACATTCTTACTAATCTTTTTACTGATCATTACAACCAAGTTATTACCAATCTTGGTCTTACTTTCTCTTATTTAGTTCACAATAATATTGACCAAAATGAAACAATTACATCTTTATTATGTTGAATTTATTATGATCTACTTATTTTATATATATACTCAAAAGTTCCTAAGTATACTCTACAATCTACTTGGACCACCAATCTAAAACTTCAAACAACTAACTTATTACAAAAATAATGCTCTGTTTTAGCATATATAGATAATACTCTTTGAGTTACTTTTTTACAAACTGAGTTATCTCATATACTATCTATAGCTGAATCATTTTATACTATAGCAAACATTCAAGTTAATCATTTAAAATCTATTCTGATTACTAATAACTCTCTACCTAACTATACTCCTATCTCTTATAATAATTACTTACTTCTATTTCATTCTTTTAAACAACTCTTCAAATTTTTAGGTTGCTGGTTTACTTTAGATAATAGGCAATTTAAACAAACAAAATTAATTATCTTTAAATTCTCTCAACTTATTCAAATTGCAAAAACAAAATATATAATTGATTCACATGCTTTCTATATTATTAATACAGTTATTATCTCTATTATTGAATACTATTTACATAATATTGTTATTAACCAACCTACTTGCAACAAAATTTTTACTCAACACATTGGTCTTGTTAAGCTTAAAGCTAAACTTTGTAGTACAATACTATCTAGTACTCTATTATATCCTTACATTTACAACATCAAACATATTTGAGATATTTAACTACAACATCATATTTCCAATCATCTCAAATGGCTTAACAATCCTGACCTACTAGGCACATCTATTCATATACATATTCAACAACTCCAAAACAACCTCTGGTCTTTTACTAACATTTTTCTTCATCCTAAGCCAATCATTGATGGACCCAATCAATTAACTACAAACTTCAAAATAATACAACTTATCAAACATATGGGCTGGACTTTTTTAACTAGTCCAATCTACAACATCCCTTACACCCTAAATGATGGAACTACATCTCTTAAATCTCTTTTTTCTTCTCATCCAAAATACTCTATTTTCAAAAAACAACTCAGATATTACAAACTTTTTTTTCTAAACCAACTCACTACTCATAACAACTTATATCTTTTGTACTGGCAACACTTTTTATCTAGACTTACCAAAATTCCAAAAGGTGTTATATCACAATAGTTTACTACCCTTGAGAACATTACTACAAGTCATTTCTACCAATGCACTTTATATAATTATTATAATTACCTTTTATAAACTATTTCTGCTACTCTACTGGCCACTTTACTTCCAACACTAAACCTTGGTTACTTACTGTTCTTGATAACCAAATAATTATTGATAAGACCAGAAGGCATAATATACCTATTGGCCTTACTCTTATCAACCACTAGCACTGCTTATTTCAGTCTCAGTTCTTTAATCTCTATCCTACTTCTCACTCTATTACCACATTATGTACTGGATACCATCTTAATTCAAATACAATTGCTAACAAATGTACTATTTTCATTTCTACTAACTCAATTACTAAACTGCTTTGTCATATCAAACCTGACAAAACTCTTAATCTTTATGCAAACTTTCTCAATATTGCATATTCTGTTGCTCTTCGATATTCTTTATATATTTCAACTTCTTCTTCACTCACAATTAATTTACAACAACTACCATCTATTTTTGAAATATGCCAACTTGTTAACAATCTTCAGACTATTGCTAACTCAAATCATAATCTATCATTTATTTCATTTTACACTGATAGTTTGTTATTGATCTTGGTACTTTACAATGCTTTATGGGCATAAGTTAGATTCAAGTTGATAACTTAACTATTAATTCATTCTAGGCACAAGTTAAACTGTGGCCATGCTCCTTTAAAGCTGAAATTCTTGCTATTCTCTTAGCAATTATTACTGCTCTTAGACATTGCTCTGTTCACATATTCACTGACTTACAATTAGTAATCTCTAAATACTATAATATCTGCCAATCAGCACCTACTCTTTTCCATACTCATACTTCATATTTCTTTATCTGGCAAACACTTATTAACTTTATCAAGTCTTATGAAATTTAACTTACTTTTTATAAAGTTATTGCACATCAAGATGATCTATTTAACAACCTTGCTGATCAACTTGCTTGTAATCATCAAATATTATTTTACCTAATATTTTTAACTAATAATCCTTATAACCTCACTATTTTTCTTTTATTGATGAATTTCCTATTGAAATTTCTATTCAACACTTTATTCAAACTATATGCCAAGCCCATATTATAATACTCTGGACATTTCAACATCATTTTTCACAATGGTCTACTATTGCACTTAACATTAACTGAAAAGCTATATGGCTTTACATTAACAACACTCAAAAAATTTCTAACTTTGCTCACATCTTTCACTTATCTACTTTGAAAACCTTTTTAGTTAAAATCCTTACAGATGAACTTTCTGTTTTTCATACTCTTCATAAATATAATTCTTTATTTCTTCTCTTCTGTCATCAATGCAACCAAACTAGCTCTTTATTCCATTGGGTCATCTGCCCATCAACCTAAACAATTTATCACTTAATCTCTAATTTTCTTAATAGTATTTTAAATACAATTAATCTTAACATGTCACCAATCCTGTTTCTGATTTACATACTGAAATCCTTATATTTAACAGTTTTAAACTACACAACTCTTCACATATATTTTTTCTTATTTCTACCTTATCTGATTTAGTTCCTATTGATTTTATTTCTACTATTCACAATGCTTTTACCTCTTATTGTACTGCTACTACTCTTTCTATCAAATTCCTTCTTCATTTAAACCAACAAATATATAAACAAATATGAATTCCATACTGTATTTCATGTTCTGCACAGTCTCAGACTATACTCCTTACTAATTTAACTCATAGTCACTCTTCTAGTCTACTCTTATCTTCTATTTCAATACTACAAATTATTACTAAAATTGATCTTTGGACTATCTAATAGATTAAATATCATACTCCTTTCTCTTATTGTTATAGTTACACAGCCAAGCCACCCAAGTCTGTGACCCAAGCCTGACTCAAGCCTGTGACTCAAGATGACTCAAGCTCATGACCCAAGCCTGTGACCCAAGCCTGACTTAAGCCTGTGACTCAAGACAACTCAAGCCTATGACCCAAGCCCAACTCAAGCCATAACCTAAGCCCAAGATCCAAGTCAGTGATTCAAGCCTGAAACTCAGATCTGTTATGAATCCAAGACCTTATATGCATAATAAATAAGCAATTAAAATTAGCAATTAGTAATATCAATAAACAGTGCATTAAGTATATAGTCTTAGTTCTGTAATATCTAGATAGTTCCACGAAAATGATTAGTAATTAGTAATAGGAAAAGTTTAAAATAAAAGAAAAGAAAAAAAGTGTACTTAGCTTTCTAGTCTGTTCAATAAACAAATCTCCAGTATTTATTACTTAATATCTTGTTATTGATGTTGCATTCTTAAATATTGTGTTTTCACTATGACATGCCTAGTTGATCGATCTTGTGTTATGACAGTTTGAACAGACTAAAGCTCTTAAATCCATATCCACTACAAATCATACATCTTAAATTTTGAAGCTCATACAAATTCATTATTAATAATACTTTCTTTAATAATATAAAAAAAAAACACAAAAAAAAAAAAAAAAAAAATTAAAAACAACCAAACCTTAATGATAATCTTATTGTGTTGCAACAGATTCAGCAAAAAAACCAACTGTTGAGACAAGAAAATATAGATGTTTGCAACAAACTCAATTAAATATTGCAAGAAGAGGCTCACAACTACTCAAGAGAGCCCAAAGTTAGCCTGCTTAACAAGTTCGATAGAACTCATTCCAAGTTTAAAGGGTTTCTGAACCAAATACAGCTTATCATTCATTTATAGCCAAGCTGTTACTCTAACAATAGAACACAGGTAAAGTTGCTTGGCAGTCTACTTGCAGGCCCAGCTCTGGCATGGTTTGTTCCACTCCTTGAAAAAGAGTTAGCACTGTTGAATAATTTCGATAGTTTCATCAGGGAGTTTGAAGCTATCTTTGGAGACTCAGACAAGATCAGAATAGCAACAAACAGAATTAGAAAACTCACTTAGGAATCTAAATCAGCTTTAAGCTACATTTCAGAGTTCCATTAAATCTTCAGCAACTTAAATTGGGATAAGGCAGTGTTAATTGACCAATTCTGAACTGGGCTAAGAAATAATGTGAAAGACTTATTACTTACTATAGAAGACCCTACATCATTGAACGATATAGGCAGTCAAAAGTAGAAACCACTGAATTTGACAATTTTTTCAAAAATAATCTTTTTGATTAATTTAATAGAGTTTTTGCCAACAAATATTTTTTACTTAATAATAAAACCTGATTAATTAATAAAATTTTGAGTTATGAAAGTTTATGTTGTTTAACATTTTTTTACAGAATATTCTAAAAATAGAAAAAACTGGTTTCATTAATAGATGTTAGTTTATTATTTACATGATTTTTTAAAAGTAGCATGATTTTTTAATTAATTTTAAGTGGTGATATCTTTCACTTTCAATAGTAATTTCTTCATGATTTCTTATTTTTTTAGGTCGTCGCTTTATGGTAATATTTTTCAGTTTTATTTTTAAAATGGTTTCTTCTTTAATATGGTTTTATTCATTTAATAGTAAGGTTTTTTGTCATTCTGTAGTAATTCTTTTTGGGTTCTTCTGGTGACATTTAGTTCCTTTTAGAGGTTCTTCTGATGATTTTTGAAGCTTCTTGGATGCTTCTAGTGGCTTTTAAAGGTTCTTCTGATGATTTTTGGAGGCTCTTTCTAGATTCTTAGTACTTTCAGTACTCTTTAGTGATTTTTTCTGGATTCTTATACTTCTGGCATTTTTTGGTGGCTTTTAGATGACTTTTTGGTATTTCTTTCTGGATTATTAGTACTTATGATATTTTTTGGTAAATTTTAGATCTTAGGCTTCATTCTCGAGGTTATTTCTAGATTCTTGATACTTCTGGTGTTTTTGGAAGTTCTTCTGATGACTTTTTGGTAGTCCTTTCTGGATTATTGATACTTCCGGTGTTTTTTTGTGGCTTTTGGAGGTTATTATGATGACTTTTTGGTAGTTCTTTCTGAATTCTTGGTACTTCTAGTGTTTTTTGATGACTTTTGGAGGTTCTTCTGATGACTTTTTGGTATTTAATCAGGATACTTGGTACTTCCGACAGCTTTTGGAGGATCTTCTGATGGCTTTTTGGAGGTTTTTCTAGATTCTTGGTACTTCTGGTGTTTTTTGGTGACTTTTGGAGTTCTTCTAATGACCTTTTAGTATTTCTTTCTAGATTCTTGGTAATTTCAGCATTTTTTGTGGCTTTTGGAGGTTCTTCAGATAACTTTTTGGTGTTTTTGGATTCTTGGCATTTTTTGGTAAATATTGAAGGTTCTTTTGATGACTTTTTGGTATTTATTCAGGATACTTAGTAGCTTTTTGAGGTTCTTCTGATGGCTTTTTAGAGGTCTTTCTGAATTCTTGGTATTTTTAGCATTATTTAAAGGTTCTTCTGATGACTTTTTGGTAGTTTTTTCTGGATTCTGGTACTTCTGGTGTTTTTTGATGGCTTTTGGAATTCTTTTGATAACTTTTTAGTGTTTCTTTCTAGATTCTTGGTACTTCCAATGTTTTTTGATAACTTTTGGAAGTTCTTCTGATAACTTTTTAGTATTTCTAGATTCTTAGTATTTTTTGACAAATATTGGAGGTTCTTATAATGACTTTTTAATATTTATTCAGGATATTTAGTACTTCTGACAGCTTTTGAAGGTTCTTCTGATGGCTTTTTAGAGGTTCTTTCTGAATTCTTGGTATTTCTGGCATTATTTGGAGGTTCTTTTAATAACTTTTTGGTGTTTTTTTTTGGATTCTTGATAATTCCAGTGTTTTTTGGTAGCTTTTAGAGTTCTTCTGATAACCTTTTAGTGTTTTTTTCTGGATTCTTGGTACTTCCAGTATTTTTTGGTAACTTTTGGAGGTTCTTCTGACAACTTTTTGGTATTTCTGGATTTTTAGTATTTTTTTGGCAAATATTAAAGGTTCTTCTGATGACTTTTTGGTATTTATTCAGAATACTTAGTACTTTTAATGGCTTTTGGAAATTCTTCTAATGTCTTTTTGAAGGTTCTTTCTGGATTCTTGGTATTTTCAGCAGTATTTGGAGGTTCTTCTGATGACTTTTTGGTGTTTCTTTCTGAATTCTTGGTACTTCAGCGTTTTTTAGTGGCTTTTGGAGTTCTTCTGACGACCTTTTGATGTTTCTTTCTGGATTCTTGATACTTTTAGCATTTTTAGATGACTTTTGGAGTTTCTTTTGATGACTTTTTGGTATTTATTCAGGATACTTGGTACTTTCAACGGCTTTTAAGGTTCTTCTAATGGCTTTTTGGAGGTTTTTTCTGGATTCTTGGTAATTCCAGCATTATTTAGAGGTTTTTTTGGATTTTTGGTAATTCTAGCATTATTTGAAGGTTTTTCTGATGACGTTTTGGTGTTTTTTTCTGAATTCTTGGTACTTCTAGCATTTTTTGGCAGCTTTTTGGAGGTTCTTCTGATAATTTTTTTGGTGGTTCTTTTTAGATTTTTAGTACTTCCAGCAATTTTTTTGGTGGCTTTTGAAGTTTCTTATAATTTTTTGGTATTTCTTTCTGCTTCTGGCATTTTTTGATAACTTTTAGAGTTTCTTCTGAAGGCTCTTTCTGGACTCTTGGTCCTTTTGATGTTTTTTGGTAGTTTTTGAAGAGGTTTTTTTCTGAATTCTCAGTACTTCCAGCATTTTTTGGCAGCTTTTTGGTGTTTCTTTCTAGATCCTTAGTAGTTCTAGCGTTTTTTGGCATTTTTTGGTGTTTTTTTTTTGGATGATCATGAAGGTTCTTTCTGGATTTCTTTTCTGAATTCTTGGTTCTTTCAGTATTTTTGGAGGTTTTTCTGATGAGTTTTTGGTGTTTCTTTTTGGTTTTTTTAATTGTCAGCATTCTTTATAGTTTTTAGAAATTCTTCTAATAATTTTTGGTGATTCTTTCAGGATTCTTAGGTTCTTTTAGCAATTGGTGATTCTTTCTGGATTCTTTAAAAATTCAAAAAGGATTACCACTTGCTAGGAGAAACTAATTAAGGTTTTATAGTTGAAAGTTTTTTTTAATTTTTTTTTTTGAATGTTTTTTTTTGAGATTTTTTTATATTTATCTATAAAAAAGTTTAATAAAAATAAATTATTAATTTGTCTTGAATTATTTTTTGAGATTATGTAATAAATTGTTATAATTAGATTTATTTATAATTAATAAATTTTAAAAATAATATAAGTATTTTATTTAATAGTTTTGAAACTAGTGATAAAGAACAAAAATAATCTTTTTTTAAAGAATTTTGTATATGTGTTCTTATTTCTTCATAAAGATACTATTGTCTTGCAGCTGATAATCCTAATAGAAATTTTTAAGTAAGAAAAGAATTTATAAATAGTAAATTTTGATTATTTTTAACTAAACTAATTTTTTTGTTCAGGTTCATTAATTGCTGTTTTAATAAATACATAACCTATATTATTATTATTAAAATAAAAATGATGTTGTTTTAAAATTTGAGGAACTGCATCAAAATAATTATTTAAAAATAATGTCTATTTAAAAATTTAACTTTACATTTTTGCATTTTCAACAATTAATTGTGATATATTATAATTATTTAATGTTGAATCTCTAACAACTTGTGCTAAATCTTCTAAATCATCAACTTCTGAGTTGCGAAGTTTTAATTTAAATAATCCAAAAAATCTATCAGGTAAAAATTTTGTATGTCTAACTACTATAAAAGAATATGTAATTGTTGTATGAAGTCCTGTCATTACTCTCTAGATTAAATATTTAATTATTGCATTATTTTTATTTTGTCCAGCACAATTATCAGCATGTATAATTAAATGTTTTTCTCCA